GCGCAATTATCATTTCGCCAAGCTTGCCAGGAGTTTACACCTTACTTGACAGGATTTACAAGACTTGCACGGTGATACGCGACTAGACATACACACAAAGGTTGACAAGCGCTCACAGGTAAGGCACCCTCCCCCTCCTCCCCCGGTTATTAGGGTCTTGATTTGTGGCAGCTTAATATGCAAGTCTAAAACAGGTATCAAGTCGAGACAAAAAGTATTTGAGGGTTTGAAAATGAGGATTATTGAAAGAACGAATTCATTACAGGTTGGTGGCCACCTCGAGGACACAGTACTTGTGAAAGGAATTGTTATCGACAAAACGATGTCGCATCCCCAAATGCCAAAAGAACTAAAGGATGTAAAGGTATGTTAGAGGAAGGTCGAAAGGGTGTTACAGGGAATGTCGGTGATTCACTGACTGATGACAGATTGTTTAATTGTATTAAATAGCAGCGGCTATAGAGCGTCAAAATAGTTGGCAATGCTTCTGAATGGCGGGTGTGTCACATGGGTTTCCCCCCATGTTTTGATTCTCATTGTGAAGCTAATTCAATCCGCAGTTCATTGTTATGCGTTGCTGATCATTCTCCCATATTGATTTGAACTGTCGCGCGTCAATCAAATCAAATTTCAGGTTGCCATACTGACCTGCCCGTTCGAGCCACCCAAGCCGAAAACCAAGCATAAGCTCGATATTACTTCCAGTGAAGATTTCAAAGCTTTACGTCAATATGAGAAGGAAACCTTTGAAAATATGATTAAACAGGTACAGTCGCTTCTTGAAATGAATTTTCTTTTTTTACGGTTTTAATGTTATTCTCACCAAATTTTTGATAGTTCGAGGATATGACCTGTTGTTTTTGTTTTCAACCCAAAACTTTTGTTTTGGCGTTATATTGAAATGTCGTTTGGTTTATCTTATCCTTGTTATTTATTAGTTTACTGAACGGAGGGTGTTTGCGTATCAGCGAACAAACAGCTGAACTAATTTGCTCTAAAGATAAAGGAAGAGAGTGAAGAATGTGGTTTAGAGATCAGATTAGATTAAGCTGTTGGTCAGTCTTCTACCACTGCTAATTTTGAGGGTCTTCTTTTGCGCCGGCGGGGTTTCTAGGGGAGGAAGAGGTCTTTTTATTGATCACCTGACCTTCCGTCTATGTCGTCGTTGAGGTCTGGGCGTGGCTCACCTTGTGGAAGTTTTCCTCGTAGAGCCAGCGATTTCCTCTTTTCCGTAGCGTTCCAGTCCATGTCAGGAAACCAAAGGAATGGGAGCAACACATTCACCCAGTAGGTCACCCTAGAAGGTAATGCCAAAGCCTATTAGTTGTTTGTCGGCACTATTCGGCTTGGTGGGGGTACCAAATGGTTTTCAGCAAGGCCTGCACAGGCCATCTGGGAAGACCTTTGAAGTACCATGGCAAGCAGACTCATTGTAGCGCTTCACAGTATCTGAAGAACTTACAGTCTCACCAACTTGAGACAACGACCTAACAAAAGGATTTAGAGCGAAGTGCCCCCCCCCCACTCCCCAACATGAACAGTTCCTGTTTGTCTGATGTTTGAGACTCGCTATACCATTCTTATGCAGGAACTATAGGGAGGATTAGCTGATGTCGCCGCTAGCATCACTGTCTC